TATAAAAAAATAAAATTTGACTTTAATTTTAATAACTAATCAATTAAATTAAGATATTTGACATTAATGTTAAAATCAATATCAATTTTTCTACTTTTTCACATATATTAATAACTAAAAGGTCTATTAACTACATTCTTAACATGTGCCTTAGAGCACAGGTTAAAAAAATCCTTTAATTAATTACTATTATGATACTATTTGAGAAAATGTATAAATAAAAATATCAATTTTGTTGTTTTTTTATTTAAAGAAATCAATATTTTGAATTTTAAAATTAAATTGTAAGCTTTTATTTTTTCTCATTAAAGATACAATCTTCGTATTTTTTCTAAATAAAAATATGAACTTTGCCTTATTTCCTTTTAAGAATGAATGAGGACGTGATAAAAAAAATTAATTAAAATAAAGTAAAATTTATTATTTTAAATAAAAAAATTACAAAATTTGTATTCTCAGTTGAACCTTTTCTCCACGATACTCTCCTAATTGATTTCTTTATTTAAGAAAGGGATTTTATTACCAACTATTTGTTGGTTCAAGTAAAAAGAGTTCGGTTTCTTTTAAATATGATTTCGAGTTTGAGTCTTATAATAAGAAATAAGTGTTGGGAGAGCTTTTTATCTAATAGAGTCTAACATGACTCAATTTTAAATTAATCTGATGCAATATGATTATTAGGTATTGAGATTTGAGAGATTAATAAAAAATAATAATAATAAAAAAAAAAAAAACAAGGGTTCCCATGCAATCCCAAAGATTTCAGAGTGGATCTCAACTATAAGGATATTGGGCCTAGCCCATTAACGAGTCCAGTGTTGTGATTGTCATCACCATCCAAAACACCAACCTTCATCGTCTCCCCCAGGAAGCAACTGCTCCATGAATCCTGGATACCCATAATCTCACAGAGAAGGACAGAGTGAGCTGTAACAATGGCCGCCTCTGCACATGTCGACTTTGCAATAACTCAGCCCGGTGTTTTCTTCTCTCCCTCCTCTTCTTCAAGTTCCAAGTTCCACAAGCCATTTTCCTCCTCCTCCACCTTTGCTCTTATCCCCAACAATTGCACCTTCTCTCTCCATTCCAATCGAACCCTTCTCCACTCTGGTTACAGGAAGCTGTCGTTGCCTAAAACCCGCAATTTCCCGGTATTTCATCTTATGATTCTGTATTCAATTTTCAAATTTTCATTCAGTTGTAGTTATTGGGTTCTCAAGATTGGTTTGTTTGCTTCACTAAGGTAATTACTTTTGCTAATGGTTATTCCCGTGCCTGGAAGGTTGTTGGATCAGCTAAGGCTGAGCCAGAGCTATTGAAGGTAATGATATCAGGGGCTCCAGCATCTGGTAAAGGTACACAATGTGAGCTCATCACTAAAAAAGTAAGCTTTTTTAATAAATGGCTTGGCGTTATTGTTTTTCATTTACAATATTATCTGTCTTTATCTTGAAATTTAACATCACTTCATCATTCCTTTCTTTTTTTATTAGTCTGATTTATATCTACTTGTTAGTTTTGTTATTCAAGGTTGTTTTGCTTTAAAAAAGAGGCTAATTAAACTAGTGCATGGCTAAATTGGGTGATTTTATAGATTTGAAATTAGGAAGCTGTCTGGAGACTTGGTTCATGTACTTTCCAAGCTTATGGGAACAGAAATGCTTAATATAAATGCCTCCTCAATTTCAGGCATTGTCTATTGCATCTGTTAATACTTACCAGGGTCAATGGACCAAAAGATTATGGGAAAAATCATAATTGGTGTGCTTGGTAATGAAGAGTTGTTTTGGGTTCATCTCTAGCTTGCCTCTGCGTTCTTTTGAGTCCAACTCATTTATATAGTTACGTATATTATTGGGTTTTACTGCATGAGTTTCTCATTTGAAATTAACTGTGAAGAAAAAGCAGATTGAATGAAGTCATCCTCATATATGCAGTATGATTTGGTGCATATTGCTGCTGGAGATTTGCTGAGAGCTGAAGTTGCTGCAGGAAGTGAAAATGGGAAGCGAGCAAAGGAATACATGGAGAAAGGACAGTTGGTGCCAGATGAAATAGTTGTCGAGGTAGGTATGATATATCAATGGCATGCCATACAAATAGGAATATATTTTTTTGTACTGATCATTTTGTACTTTTGGTCTTGTAGATGGTGAAGGATCGTCTTTTACAGCCAGATTCCCTAGAAAATGGCTGGCTTTTAGATGGATATCCAAGGAGCTCATCACAAGCAGCAGCTCTTCAGGAGTTTGGATTCCAGCCAGACATTTTCATTTTATTAGAGGTGAGAATTTACTATTGCTGGTGATTGCCTTTTTGGGTTTATTTCTGCATTATATTTTAGGTCATTGCATCATTAGGTGAAGAAGAAAGTTAGGCAGGTTTTTTATTTGCGTTTTAGTATAGATATAATGACTGAGCCTTCTGCAATCCTGGTTAAACGTTTCCACCTTTGTTTATAGGTTCCTGAGGAGGTTCTTGTTGAGAGAGTGGTAAGACGTAGGCTAGATCCTGTTACAGGTAAGATATACCACTTGAAGTATTCACCTCCCGAGACTGAAGAAATTGCGGCCAGGCTTACCCAACGTTTTGATGATACTGAAGAAAAGGCATGCATAAACTATTCTTTCTAGTTTCTTGTTTGATTATGTTGGCTTCTGATTTCTTTAGTTAAGGTCTTCAATTATTTCACAGTTTTTCCCTTTTTCCCCCCTCTCACTCTTTCATTTGTTGTTGCAAATTGGCATTTACTTGGGATTGTGTAAATAACATTTTGCTTTGTTTAGGTGAAATTGCGGCTGCAAACCCATCACAAAAATGTAGAGGCTGTACTTTCTACATATGAAGCTATTACCATCAAGGCATGTTATACTAGTCTTTCTTTCTGTGCATGCTTGTATTTATGTGTAATACTTGTAGATTTAAACCACAGAAAAGAATAAAAATAAGGAAAGAAAAGAAAAAGAGGGAAATGAAGCTTTGCATTGAGATTCAGTTGCAGAAACCAATGATTAATTTTTTAGTCGTATACTTTGGATGAAATATTTTGCATCTTTATGAAGCAAAGCAGGCAATGGTAATATGAATGAAAAATCTAATCATGATATGAAGATGCATTGGAGTTATGGTGTCTGTGGCTAGTAGGTAGAATTGAGATGCTGGAACAGGAATCCTATCCCAAAAGTAATTAATTATGTTAAACCATCTCTCCTTGGTGTCATATTTTTGTGCTGCCACTTTGTATTTGAAGTCAAAGTATCTGGATGCTTTAATTCAGATTTAAAGTATCATTTGTGAGTTATGATTAAACAGCATCTGAATTTTATCTTCATACCATGGAAATAATAAAGGAGTCATAATTAACTGTAACTCATTACTTCATCAGTTTAGAATTAAACAGAAACACCATGCCATGAATCCAAATTGGACCCTTTTTTCTCTCCCATTTCAGGTTAATGGAAATGTCTCCAAGGAGGACGTGTTTGCCCAAATTGACACTGCACTAACAAAACTACTTGAGCAAAAGTAGGCCAATCTGGGATCTTTGGCTTCTTAAATCTAGAATAATGGAGAAAAGAGGGCCTCATCAGCAATATGCAACAAATACGGCACAGTGCTAGCCAAGATACAGGATGAATTTGTTTTTTTGTTTATTTTCATAAAATTATACCACTTAGTTTGACAATGAAGAGTGCCATTTGTTACATTCACTTGTTTGCTCTTCTGATATCATGTCAATTTGTTTATTAAACTATTAAACTACTTTTAGGTGAAATTCCAATATTTCGAATTGTCAAACACAGGTTTACTGTTTACCTTAAAATATTTGCTCCCTCCAGAGTGGAAGACTGTGACAGGGAAAATGTACAGAACACTGCCCTTGCTGGTTTGATGCATTCATCCCACTCTCACAATTTCATCATGTAATAGCCAATTAATTTTACTTTTTTGTACAATATACATATATATATATATCGGAAAAAGTGTTCTTTTAATAAATTTTTATTGAAAAAGATTAAAATATTTAATTTTGATAGCATGAATTAGATTATGTTTTATTTTTTGTAATATTTTATTAAAATAATGTAATTTTAAAGTAATTTTTTTCTTAACTTTTAAGAAATAAAGAATATAAGCACTAATCTATATATATATAGTGAAAAAATAAATAAAAAAGAAAAGAAAAGAAAAAAAGAATGAAGTACAACTTCCTTCCTGAGTTATTAAAGGTGGTTTGTTTTCTTGAACGTGAGTGGATTCCTAAGGGTAAATTATGAAGCACAACACATGCAAATGTCTGTCCTTCTACATAACATAATCAGTGGCGGAGCTAGGAATTTATTTTAGGGGGGCCAA